AACAATTAAGTTCCCCATTAGCGATTATTATGTAGTGCATATGTTGCTTTTCCCATGTCATTTGCAAAGAAAATATGTATTTGGAGATTCAATACATAAAGGCAAGTAGTTAAATCTGAAAATCCTGGAGAAAGTCAGTTTTCTTTATGTTTCTGCTTTTAGCTATGAGCAGCATAAACATCACAACTTTTACAAGAATGCAGAATATTTTTGTTCTCCAAGACTGAAAGTTCAGTATTCTGAAGTCAGAAAGCTTTCAAGAACTTTCAGTTATTGTCTCTAAAGGCAAAGTGTCATGAAACATAAACTCATCACTGATTAAAATCTTAATCACAATCCTAACTCCTGTTTTACACTGAGATGTAAGAAGCAGAGACATTGAGATTATAAGTCTTGTTTCAGCCAAAGAAGTCTCTTGAATCAAAGAAGAACATTTGGGGTTTTTTTCCTAAACTGACCCAAGGTTTCTATGTTCTTCAGATGTTCAAGGCAAGCAGAAGTTTGAAGGGTTTGAGTTTTGAAGTTTTTGATGGTCTTATTTGCAAATAAAAAGTAACGTCACTTATAATTCAAATACATTTAGAAAGTGCAATAGCATTGGGGGTTTTGGCAGGGAAGAGGAGTAAGCCGAACATACCTCTTGAAAATTTCTTAGTTTAGTTTCATTAAAGAGAAGTTGTCACCAAAAAAAATATTCAGACCAAAATTAGTAGATATAAAATTGTCTGAACTTCTGCAATCATAAAGGTTTCTGTACTTATAGTGATGATGGATTAAAATTGGTTTTATTACATTAAAAATAAGTGGAGTAAAGGAATATGTGACATATGTCCAAGACATACTGTGACAAATAGGCTGCTAAAAAGACTGCAGTTGCTAAAGAGAAATCCAGAATAACCTATTACAGGTAATGAAAACAAGCAGCTCTCTGAATGAAGAATAGCGATTTCTGAAAGATAGCTACCAAGGAAGATTGAGCACAGTCCACAGCTGAAGCTCTGCTTTAGTTTTATCAAACTTGGCAGGCAGTGAAACATGAGAGACAGACCTTTGTAAACGACAGGATCATAGGTTCACATGAGACTCGAAAAAGTACCCAAAGCCCAGTTTAAAGGAGGTTCAGTTAGATCAAGTCACTTAGAGTCTTGTCTAGTAAAGCCTTGAAAGGTCCTTTGTAGGTCCCTTTCTGCAAAACTGCTTTACAACTGGCTGGCCCCAGCGCATACTGATGAACGGCATTATTCCTCCCCTGGTGCTCTTTCTGAATGTCATGAGGTTGTTTTAGGACATTTCTCCAGCATGTCCAGGTCCCTCTGAGAAGCAGCCCTGCCCTCCAGTGTGATTAACACTTTTTTCCCAAGTTGGTGTTTCGTACTCTCTTTTCTCCCTCCCATTGTTAAATATGGTAATGTCTACTGTTCAAGACATTGTAACCTATAAAAGTAAATCAAAATTATCAACAGAATAGAACAGATTAATAAATACAATAATTTCAATAGTATGCTAATTCATTTTCATTAAATACTGTTACACTTCTTTTTTGAGAGGTTCAGACAGAGAGAACTCTCTTTTCTGAGAGTAAGATACAGCATTGGAGGTTGCCTGTAGGCTGAAATTAAAGTCTACTGTTCTAAAGATAAATAAATTATTTCTGTAGTATAATGACAGATAGGCAGTAAAGTTTATTGAAAGATGAAAATCATGTACTTGAATTTGGAAAACATTTCAATTAGCATAGATTAAAGTCCTGAAAAGTGGTACCCTATACAGTGCATTACCTGGAAAAGAGTATTAAATTCCTCATATCATGAGCAAAGGGAAGGCATGTGAATGAATGTGATAAAAGCTGAGAACCGAATCAGCCAAGATTTTTGATCTGTAAGAAACAGGCCATCTCCTCTAGAAAAAATTAGACCATCCCCAAAAGATTTCTGCTTCACAACAGCTCCTGGAAGTCTGCAATGCTGGAAGAATAAGAAAAATCTGTTCAACATGGTCAGATTTGGTGGAAAAGTTATGCTATAAGCTGGTTATACCTGATCCTCAGGGCTCCTATCTTCCCAATCAATTGTTTTAGAGGGTTGATACAGACTCATAGTTTGCAGTATAGAACTGTAAATTCACAGTATACACATCCTATATTTTACAGTATCCTATCAAACTTCTTTTATCCAATGCCCAAGGAAACATTCATAGGATTAGAATCACAGGTTGTGCTGAGTTTAAAAGAGCACATGGGAGTCAATAGGTCCAATGGAAGACCTAATGCTCCCAGGCACCCAAGGAGTTACAGCATGTGCCTGAGAGCATTGTCACATCCATCTTGGACTCAAACAAGCTTGGTACTGTGACCTTTTCTCTGGGAAGTCTGTTCAGTGCTTGATTGAGCCTTTTGTCAGTTCCTCTTGCTAACAGTAAAGTTTATAACTATTTAGTATTTAACGTTTCCAATTTTACCACTAGCCTAAAAAAAGAGTATGCAATATAGTTTAACCTTCATGTTGCTTAATTTTATCTTCTTGCATGTTTGGTCTTTTTAGATAATATTTTTTTGTATTTATCTATTTGTCTCTATGAGATATTGTCAGCCTGTCTCTATGAAACAGTGGTTAAACACCTGTTGGGAGACATTTCTGACCTAAGAGTTTTTTTATTTTTTCAACAGCTTTCTTTTAATTCTATTTACATTTTTCTTTAACATTTCTACAGTTCTACAAAAACTGACATAATTCATGAGTCATTTAGAATATTCATTTTGCTTGAAGTTTTAGTATTTCAGAATCTTTGAAGCAGGTATCAGTAAAACAAATTTCTGAAACAGATGGCTAACACTTGGAGTGTGATTATAAAGCAGAGCATAGTGTCGTGTATATAAATATATTTGCACAAGCTTAACTATTTGAAAGTCTCCAAGTAGTTCACCCTATTATATGAATTATAGCATGTCCAGTTCCTGATGTGACTTGATTTTGTAGCGTATTCTTAATATTCTAATATTCTTAAACTCTTCCTTTTTGGAAGAGCAAAAATTTCAAAAAAACATATTTTGCTTTTATTTTAACACTAAGTAAATTTTGAAATTAATCTCATCCCATTATTATAATTTTATGTATGAAAAAAAGCAACCAGCAATACAAAAGTGTCAGTTGACATCATCTGTAAGCACTAAATTTTGCAGGGCATTTATTTGGAAATTTGTGTAGGTGGCTTTTACATGCATATCAAAGAATTGCATCAAAAGAATAACTATGAGTTTTTATTGAATTAAGTAATTGTCCTGTTACATCAGTGTTGATATTTTTATTTTTTACATGTTAAGTTCTAATTTTTCTCTTGTTCTGTTGGACATTTCTTATGTTCCTTTAGATTTCCAAATGAATAATGACTATTTTTTTTTTATTTTTCTGTGAAATCTCCTTTCCTTTAGACTAATAAAGATTAGTGCACTTATCACACGGCTAGTTGTTTACTAGTCCTATGGACTACTATGAAAAAATTAATTCAAAACAACAAATAGGTTTAGGAGCTGTTGTGCAAGAAATTATATAAATGTATAATTAATCTTCAGTTTTCTGGCAGATGATGATAAAGGCATTTGTATTTTACTGATGATATCTATTCCCTTTCCAATTGCCACTTCTGTAGGTTGATCATTTCTTCAATCCACCCAACAAGTAGTGGGTTTCTGCCACACCTCAGGTTTAATCTCTGAATTCAATTTAAATTTTGCCTTTCTTTTTATACATGCTTAACAAGGGCACTTCTGCAGTCATGCTACCTGGCTTCAACCCAGTAAACAGTTAACAATATGTTAACTTTTATATGTCCCCTTTCAAATCTGCTGATCCACTGTCCTGCCGCTCAGCTTTGCACTATTGCACTGGCTGCCACAGAATGCCTTCAACGAACATAAAAGGAACCCGGTAGAGTTTCAGATCTGTATTGACAGAAGTTATTTTTCTTTTTTTACTGTGTTGGTGGTTGGGCTGTGACGTAAACTCTGCAGACTGTTAGGGAGGCATTTGGATTGGGGTTTATTAGATTGGAAATTAGCATGTTGTTGGTATGTGCACACCTTCTATTGGATGTGAATTATTCTTTTCAGTTCTGGTAGATTTCATCATCCCTGCTATATTATAAGGGTAGCATTATTGGGGAAATCTTCTTGAAGCTGTTTTTCTGGCCTAGTTGCAGGTGGAAATTGAGGTTTACGTAATGACATTATGTCTCTTTGCCACTTTTATTTCCATGTGGTGGCTTCTTGTGCACCAGAAAACTTTGTACCTTTTAGAAAACTTCACACAAAAGCATAGAGACAGTTAAGAAAATTATCTTTCAAAAAATATTTCACTTACTAATTATTAACCTAGCATGTTGCAAAAACACTGAAAGGAGCAAGAGTTGTAAAGAAAAATGTCTCTGAGCTTAAATGTGTAGTACTTCTTTGTACCCATCATGTTTATTTTAATTTACTGTGGATGACAGTGGACATTTTTGTGCAAATGGTAAAAAATTAAGATTTATTATATTTTTCTTTACTAAAAATCATGTGTTGAAAATTTTGATGCAATGTTGCAAAAATATTTGGATTTTTGGGAAAAAATGCAACATATTTTTCAATTCAAAATTACTCACTTGACCATGCATTTAATTGTAAGTTGGTGAAATAAATATATTTTGGTTATGGAGAATATAAACTTGTAAAAATACTATTATGAAGTGACTTCTGTATTATGCAATGTACAGCAATAGCTGTGAAAACTAAAATCTTACATTAGGTAATTTTAATCTTGAATAGGGAATGAAGGCATCCCAAGTAAAATATAATTCACTTTTGAATTCTTCCAGGGTTTTAAATAGATTCATAGGTTTATTTGTCACTTTATGAAATACATAAATACTCTTCCAGAGTCAGACATCTATCAAGTAGGTAATGGTTCTCTAATTTAGTTTGACTAGAAAATGTCCAAGCTATTATGTTGCTTTTTTTTCCCCCTCAGAACATTATCAACTGTATGTTCCTGAGTCGGCTCAAGTTGGATCGGCAGTTGGCAAAATCAAAGCAAATGATGCAGACACTGGCTCAAATGCAGACATGAAGTACACGATTATAAATGGTGATGGCGCTGGGGTATTCTCCATATCTACTGACAAAGAAACCAGGGAAGGAATTCTCTCTCTGAAGAAGGTAAGCCATAGAAGATGTAAAATTTGGGTGAAAATTCTACTTTTGTCCCCAGCCTGCTTAAATCTTGCCATAGAAATTTTATCAGTGGCAATGAATGTGTAATTCAGTTTTCATAGACTGTTATTCTTTGATTTACTTTCCAGTTGGTATCTAAATGATCCAGTATTGTGCTAAAGACTTAAAATGTTACTTGGCAAGCTATTGCAGGGTTATCATTTATATGTAGTTCCTATATTTGTCCCAGTCAGCTGAGAGTTCTTATGTGGGTTTGTTGTTATTGAGTCTTGTAGATATATATATATGTAACCATACACCCTAAAAATCAAAAGTGAGTATATGTTCAAAATTACTAATATGAATTCTGGTCTTGATTAATGGTTGGATAAATGAAATCCTGAGAAAATATGAAAGAGGAGAATAAATAAAAACTATCTAAAGCATGATTTTTTTTTTTTTGCTTCCGCATTGATATATATGTACTTAAGATATCAAAAATAGTTTCTTACTCAAGGAAATATTATTTTTATGATTCATAAATATTTAAAAGATCTCTTTCAGTATCTTAAAAAGCTTTAACTCAGTGTCTTTTGTAAAGGTTATGTAATACGCACCTTTTACAACCACATATAAGTAAACTGTCATTTTTGTAAAGCTTAATTTATTTCATGATAGCCTTGTTATAGCTAAAAATTTAATCTGGTATTTCTTCTTTAAAATAAGCATTATACCCTTACCATGGGTGCTGTTCATTAACTACAACATTTACTAATATACAAAACATGAAGCAGAAAGGGAGAATTACCAACAAAATAAAAGACATAGAAAACTTTGTTAAATCACATTTATTAGTTTTGGCAAAGTAGCTTCAAAAATTTTTTCACTATTATTTAGAATATGACAAAAGCATGGGTTGCCTGTTCTTTTACATACACATGACAATAATTTAGGTAATTTTTTACACCAAGACAAGAGGAGGTAAGTTTTGCTCATGAAATGTTATATTCCAGTTGAGCAGAACTTTGGCACTTGAAAGATACATAAATTTGTGTATAATAGCTCTGTTATTTCCTTGGATACCTTATCCCTTTGTACAGTATTAAAAAATTGACCTTGGTTTTTTTTTACTTTATTTTCTTATTTTTTACTCAGATTTTGTATGCAGTTAAATAAGTATATTATATGCTGTGTGCTGTAATTGCTTTCAATTTAGATTGGGTTTCAAGCTGAATTTTTTGAGACCCCATCCAAAATAAATAATCTTAAATGAGGACAGAAGTGTTTTGGTTTTGCATATCAGATACCAGTGCCTTCTATAACGGTAAAATAGAATGACTTATCTTCTAGTACTTCTGCAGAAGAATTTACAGTAGGCACATCAGAAAAGCCAGAAGTAAATATATTATTGTGTCTAATGACCTGAAATCGTCATCCAAATATTAAAGATTTCCTTATGTAAGATTATGATGGATAAATAATTTTTTTCAGTGCCTCTACTTGTATGCAAGAGCTGGGAGTGTTAGAATCTTTTTTAGTCTCATTCTGGGCTGACCCAAAACATCCAGTACTTTCATTATCTTTCTTACTGACAAACCTGTGGAGCCATTCTTCAGTCTCAAAGATCCTTCCACTAAGGGTTGATTACAAACTGTCATGAAGTATTTCCACTTTACCTCATGCATTTCCTCATTTGAGTAGGAAACTGGAGGAAACCCAAACAAAATAGCCCAGTAAAAGCTACTATTCTCTGTATCCTTCAAAAAAAGAATGGTCATCATGCCCCCCCTTTGTCAAGATTTTCAGAAACATGTGTTAGAACTTTCCTGACCTCAAGTCAGCAAGTATCATTCAGGTTTCCCAGAAAAAGTGTCTAACAGCCCATGTCTCTTCAATTTTGTGTAATGAAATTGGAAATGTTCAAGAAACAGTTATTTCCAATAAAATTCTGTAACTCTTTTTGGGAGTTGCAGTTACCCTAATATGAGATTCCTTTTGGGAGTCTCATATTAGAGACTCAAACTGCAGTTTAGTGCAGAGCAGCGTATTCCAGTTAGCCTTGTAAGTGGTCACTTGAGCTACATTTGGCATTTTCAGTTTGGCATAAAAATCATAATAGCCGATGACTACATACTGAAGTTATGTTGGTAATTGTAATGAAAGGATGTTATTAATTGGGAAAATAGAAAACATGAACAAAAACTCTCTTTAATTAATCTAAAATATAAATGTTTTGCTTTCTTTCCGGGGAAGACAATGATCTTCAAGGATAATTTTAGGTAAATACAGAAATGTTTTGCATATTTAGAGACACAAGAAAAGTCTGTCTTTCATCTTATATCTACAGCTAATGATTGAGATGTTATAGGAAGAAAAAAAGCACATGAGAGCAAAAAACTAATCTGACTATATTTAAAATGTCAGCTTTTTCTGATTATCTGAATAGATTTTTCACTTTAAAAAAGTGTTATTGTTTGATCAAAGAACTAGATAAAATAAAGAGTTTGTGTTACTACAAGACTTTGTGTCTTGTAGTCTTCTCTCATGTGTTTTCTGAGATAAATGAATCTTCCTGTACGAGTTAATTCAGTTGTTGTCAATATAAACTGTGTTTTCCAAAAAGACATCAAAGATAAATGTTGCAGTCCTTTTTAAACCTGTTTATTCTTAGAATATGCATGCTATGGAGAAATGAAAATCACTAGTCAATATTTGGCTACTCATAACAAAACCACCATAAATTAATGGACATCAGAGTTAGAATTTATTAAACGTATATTTCGTTATGAATTGACTTGAGAAGGATAATTAGCTGTTTTTTCTTGTGTAGTAATAGATTTACCAGGCTATAGGTAATTTCCATGCTTTTAGAACTTTTTATTTTTACATTCAGGAAAGGGAAACAGAGAATAAGAGGGTCACAAAAGCCTTATACTGATAGAGTTTAAAGAATGAATTAATTGTCCTTAACAATACAAAGGAGAAATCAAACAAATATATAAAGTGTATATAAATTCTGATGAATTTTTCTTGTACACCATCAGTAAAATTTATTGTAGATTTCATCTATAAAATTCACACTGACAATGAAAAGCCAGAATGATACTGGTATCAGTGGAATTCTGCCATGCCATAGAGGAAATAAAAATTCTCTTTCTAAAAATAAATATGTGCATATGCAACTTCTTTAATGATATGACTGTGTTTGGAAACTATTGGAAATAGACAGTCTACATCTGCTCTCTTACATTGAGCAAGTGTTTTCCTGTGAGAAGTTGCTTTTATTCAGTTGAGAAGAAAAGAGATGCCCAAAAGAATTTTAATGCCGTCCCTGTCACTGTCTATGACCATTTTTTATTTAAGACGTGAAGTTATTTTAATTCAGTCTACATCAGTCTCTACCTTTTTCAGGACCTAGGATTTACTGATTAAAACCAAAAGGTGACAAAATTCAGACAGTACATTATCAGGAAAGTAGAATCTGAGACTTATCCTAAACCATGGGCTATTTCCAAAACTAGTATCTTTTTCAATATTCTGTTGCAGAGAAAAATTGAAACCATCCTGCTTCATTTATATCCTTCTATATACAAGGTATGACAGTGGCTGCCAGAATATCAGAGAATATCATGCCTTTCCAGTGACATGAAGAAATGTTTAAGTTAAACAGAAAAGATGTTGTTAAGTTGCTAGCAGGCTGAACTGGAGAGCAGAATGTCTCTGAGAATTTATTTTTTCTTCCAACAGCCACTCAACTATGAAAAAAAGAAATCATATACACTTAATATAGAAGGAGCAAATACTCACCTGGATTTTCGCTTTTCGCACCTGGGACCATTCAAAGATGTAACAATGTTGAAGGTCATCGTTGGTGATGTGGATGAACCCCCGCTCTTCACCATGCCTTCCTATGTCATGGAAGTTTATGAAAATGCAAAGATTGGGACTCCTGTTGGCACAGTAACAGCACATGATCCTGATGCTGCAAACAGTTTAGTGAGGTATAGTAAATCCAAATTATAGGAATTAATTATTCAGTCATGATATTGAATTTCAAAAGCTTAATGGTCAATGAGATCTGGAATGTAGGAAGATGGTTTATTTTAGTACATAATGGAAAACATAGGTTGGAACAGTGTCATGATCGGTCTGTATAGATTAGATTTAGTAACATAACCTTCAGCCTTTATTTCATTTGCACCATAATTCCCATCACTGGTCTGAGCAAAGGCCTGATTTTCCAGTGGTGTCCTACTGTAAATCTTTAGAATTTCATAGTACGGTTTTCCCCCTGCTGTCAAAATTGCACTGGCCCTCTGCACACTTGTTTCACTGTAGTTGTCCCAGGTGCTTGTGCAAGACAGCAACAGGTTTAGATACATCTTCCTTTTAGAGACAAGTAGGATCGTTTTTGCAAAACTTTGGTTGAGGGTGAGCCCAATATTTTGTAACATGCTTCAGCTTCAGTAGAGCGTCAAAAGAATCAAATATGTGCAATAATGAATTTTGCGGAACAATGTAAGAACTTTATGTGTCAAAGGTGGCAGTGGCTCTAAAAAGTCTCCGAAAAATATCTGCAAAAAGATTTTTGATGCTTTTCCTTTCCATGCCATAATAATAAAGCCTTTGTAAAAATCATTTTATTATATCCTTGGAAAGCAGTTTTTCCTCAGCTAGTTAGGAAGATTTAGTCTCCTGACTGAGTTGAAATCTGCTGGGTATGTGTAATAGTAAGGTGAAACAATCTTTTCATAGCAATGAAGACATCCGATTTTTATGGTTCGTCATAATAGTCTAAAATTCAAAATGTTTTGTGTCAGAGGATCAATATATGCAATTTCTTAGTGGCAAGTTATTGCCTTTGAAAAATTTCCACTATGGTATTTGTGCCTAAATTGTAACATACATAATAAAATTTTGCTAAAAATAGCTGCCAAATTCCTGTAGCTCTAATATTGTGATGCTGAAGCTATTAACACAGTCATACCCATTATTGTCATGGAAATTTGGAGTAGGAAGGGCAAGTGCATATTTGACTAACTGGTCCATAATTCAGCTGTCTGTTTCCCATAACAATTTTGTCTAGAAAGAGATAAATCTGACAAAAGGGAAGCAGCAGCAGTTTGTACAAAGCCTAGGGAGGTCAGAAGTAGATTTTCTGGGGGAAACAGGCAGTAATCTGGAAATAGAGGGGTCAAAAGGAAAAAATATTTTCCAATACTGAGATTTTGTATTTGCTTTTTTTTTCCAAACTTGAATTTGTAATTAGTGATTGAGGACAGAATATTAAGTATCCATATTATTCATATAATTGAGGGAAAAAATTGTTCTTACTTTTGTCAATCATGTTTTTACCTCAGTTGACATATATTTTTGAGTATTTCTTTCCATTTTTCTATGTCTCAATGGAGAAAAATATATAGTGCTAACGTAGTATACCAAACCATGAAGATCCAAAGGGAGCCAGTTCTCAGTTACATATTGGTGGGGTTTTGCAAGGGCTTTTCATAGAAAGCAGAGACCACAATCTCCAGGGAAGATAGACAGAGATAAGACTTCACCTGCTGATCTCTATGTAGCGGGGGAGTAACAGAACAGCACTTCTTATCCAAATGGCTCAGATACATCTCCAAATACTGTGAGGCTACAGGGCAAGATACAGAGCAGCGATTTGCTTATCAGTCTTTCCCAATCCACTTGTGCATCCTTTCCACTTTATGAGGACACTCGCTGCTGTGTATGAGATTGATGAAGCATTTAGGCACACACACTTGAAACCATCTCACTTTGCTCTTCAGCTGCTGAAAGAGATACAGTGATCTGATTTGTTCACTGCCTAATTAAATAACAGTTTAATTTGATGGCAGGAACAATTCTTGTATACAGAATAATGGTTGGAAGTGTAGTTAAGGTAATTAATAGTGCTGAAATCTTTTTAGGTTATTTGAACTGAACACAAAAATAAATAGCATCATCTACTGCTATCAGTAAAGGGAGACAAAGTGGGTTTTGTCCTTATTTCCTCAGTGCGATTTCATCACAGTGATTTCATCTTGTTCCTGAGCTGAGCAGTCTTCAGAAGGCACTGACTTTTTGCCAGTGCTTGTACTAGTGTTTTAGTCTTTAAACCCTAGCAGAACTGTAATAACAAATGTAGCTAATAGCGATGGGGTCTTTTTATTCAATACCTCACTGGCCATTTGGACTGTTCAAAAGGATTTTTCTTTTCAAGCTGATTGATGGTTTTTTTCTTTAAAAATATAGAAATGTATTTTCAGGGAAACTTTTTAAAATGCTCTGTTTTAGAATAAGATTATTATTCTACTGAAATACGAAAAGCAAGATATAATAGAAAGCATAAGAAATAAATTTAGTAAAACTTCATCATGTATTAATTTTAAATATAAAGGAGTTTTGAGTAATTTGAAAATCACTTAAAAATTTACGTACAAATTATTGTCTAAATCTTTATTTGTCATGCATTCACAGGTATTACTGCCCTGTTGGAACATTTATGAAAAACTAATCCCCTTTCATTGCTTTGTGTCAAGTATTCTGCCTCCATACTCATATCTTTTGTTGCTTGAAAAGGTCAGCGTTAAGTCACGTCTTATAATAATATCTGATGTGCAAGTGGATCTTGAAAAATATCTTCCCACACAATGTGGAAGAAAGCATGACTATTAGATGCTCTAATTACAATATTTTCTTAGTCCATTATTCATTTTAAATCCCTGTATATCTACTTAGAAATTATCTTTTTTGCTTTCTGTAATCATACACAGAAAACCTGTGTGGCGATTAGGGGTGCAAACAGCTTTTAATTGGCAAGGTACCTGGCTGTGAGTGCTGCCTCAGGGCAGGGCAGCGCCTCCTGAAACCCTGACATCCTCCTGTAGGTGGTGATCCTTGGGTGGTGGGTCCGCCCAGGCACAGCTCATCCTCCACATGATCCTTGGAGCTTCCCAACTGCCTCTGGTCTGCTTCCAGGGGAATGTTTTTTTTTGGGAACGTGATGCTGTAGCTGTTCCCCAAACCACCTCCAAGGCAGTGATTCAGAAAAGAGCTCAGATGTAGTTTTAAGACCATAACACTTTCTGCAGCTCTGATGCAATAGTGAAAGTAGTTCCATGACATAGACCAGCTCCCCTAGAATAACTCCCTGGCTTGATAATGTACTATGAAGAGCTGAAAGCCTTTGCTTTTGCTAACCTTATACACTTAAGAGTAGTGTTTGAGAAATAAGACACCCCATTACAGAAATACAGTAACATCAGATCACTCCTTTGAGTGCTACTTTGTCATGCAGTGATGCAGGGGGTAAATCACTGTTTTGAGCATTAACGATAAGACCTCTGCACCCTCCAGTAATTTTTTTACACCCACTTATTATGTTTAACTTAGGTTGTTTGCATTTCTGGGAAGAATTTTTCTTTTCCTGGTATCTAACAGAAAACTTCTGGTGAATGGGGTACAGGTCCTGATCAGGACTCTGCCTGTGACAGCAGTGTCAAACGATAAGAAAAATAAGCATCTTCCCTTTTCAGAAAGTCTACAATTGCTTGGCTAAAAACAGCTTTATATTTTTTTTTTTTTTTTCTGTTCCTGGAAGACAGATTTGCTATATTAATAATTTGGAATTCAAGTAAATTTTCTGCTGGACCTTAATCAGGTTGTAGTATGTCTTACTATAATGTATTTTATTCACAAAGATTGATCAGCTATAAAAAACAGAAGTCAGAAAAAAAACCCAAACTGTTGCTTTGGTTTTGGTTTTCTTTTTTTCTTTTTAAAATTTTGTACTAAAAATTAATTTTAATATTTGCAATTTCTTTGTCCTAAAAATTGACTTTCAATTTTGTGCTAGGTTGGTGAAGAATAAGAGTATAATCTCAGCTATGATCCTGCTTCCCACTTTTCTAACGGTCTTATGTTGTTGCCTTAAAATGGATGATATATCATAATGGTTATAATACATGTTTATACTAATGAGTGCAAAAACTTTCCAACACCACACCTGGTATGTAGAGGCTCCAATAAATTCATAGTTCCCTTCTCCTACTTTGATTTAAATTGAAAAACTTCTCTTTCCTTCTTTCAGTAAGAATACTAAAAAATCAATGAGCTACAGGTGCATATGATTATAACAATTGATATGGTATAGGATTTTTGTCTTCAATTCCTGTATTCAGTAGAGAAACTTATTTCAACTTTTGCTGTATTGATTGTAAAAGATAGTCATCTTTTAGATTCATCTGAAGGTGAATATTTTTTGTCATCAGCCTTTGGAAAGTAATCTTAATTTTTAGCAAACGGTATTTTAAGAGGCATGCTTATACGTAGACGAAAGAACATAACCAATAAGTTTTATGCTTTCCCGTTATTATTTCTCAAAGTCTTAAAGATATAAAATATTGGGAAAAAATCTTTTCTAATATAAAGTTTAAATTTGCTAGAGGTAGAATAAAACCTCAACTTGTGATTCAAATTGAAGGGATGTGCAAGACAACTTCATGAAAGGACCTAAGGGAGGGGCTGAAAATTAAATTATATTTTTAAGGTTCCCTCCCACCTCCCCCCTTCTCTGAGATCAATTCAGTCTCTATGCTCTCAGCAGAGAGAAGGGATAAGGCTGCTCCCCTTCTGGAAAATACAGAAGCCCCTTATCCTAGTTTTTTTAATTTGCCTTACTTGCTCTTTGAATGGCATATAAGAGGAATAAAACCAGTTTATTTCCTGCTGTCCTGTGTACAGCCAGTATGGCTTCCCTAAGGACAAGTCCTGCTTGACTGGTCTAGTGGCCCTGATGGAGTGACTGTACCAGTGGACAAGGGAAGGGTTACAGATATCATTTATTTGGACTTCTGTAAAGCCTTTAAAACAGTCCCCCACAACATAATATTCTCTAAACTGGGACGAGATGGTTGGAATGGGTGGACTGTTAGACTGCTTGGGGTGACATAATTGCTGCTTCCCAGTATCTGAAGGGAGCCTACACGAA